GTTATTTGTTGTTATGGTGGTGTGAAATCTCCTCTCTTTTAATGTACTTTTCGGGGATTATTTATTACTGTGTCCTGTTGGGTATAACCAACATTTTAAAAGTAAAGTTTTCCTTCTACCATCTGCTGTAGAGCTGGATTAATGGCTCAAAATTGCTTAAACTTGTTTTTATTGTGGACTATTTTTCTTTCTTTGTCAACTGTGATTAATAGTTTTTCTAGGTATCGTAGCATGGACTGGCTTCTGTGCTTTCTTAGAGTTTGTAAAACATCCATTCAGACCCTTCTGGGTTTCAGTTTCCATTGAGCAGTCAGGTGTCCTTTAATGAACTTGCCTTAGTATGTGACTTAGTTTTTTTTTTCCTTTGCAGTTTTAGATCTCCTTTCTTTCTTCTGTGTATTTAGAATAGTGTTTTGATTATTATGTGTCATGGGACATTTCTTTTTTGGTCCTGTTTATTTGGTGATCTGTATTCTTATACCTTGATAGACATCTCTGTCTTTATATTGGAAAAATTTTCTTCTATGATTTTGTTAAAAGTATTTTCTGACCTCCCACCTCCCACCTCATTTGACCCTTCCTGTTTTATTTTCCCTTCATGTCACCTGTGTTCTGTCCCCATTTCCCTTGAAATCTACCCAGTCCTCACATGGTTCCCTCGTGCCTCCTGACTTCTATGGGTACTTCAACTTAAACACGCATATCCACGGCTTGAAAACTAGTATTCTCCTTCATCCACACATGAGAGAGAACGTCCCACATTTCTGTTTCTGTGTCTGGGTCACCTTCATCAGAATGATTACTTCTACCTTTACCAATACACCTGTGGCGTTAATTCTTCTTTTCACCCCCGACCCCCTTGTGTGTATGCTCCACATTTTCATTTTCTATTTGTCAGTTTATGGGCAATTAGGCTGTTGTTTTCTTACTGCCTATTGTGGCTATAGCAGCTGTGAACACGACGAGCAAGTATAGCTTTAAGTAGGATAGAGAATCTTTTGAGGATATTCCCAGGAGTAGTTACAGCTGCAGTACGTAGTGTATCTCCAGCCTCCTAAGGAACTTCTACACTAATTTCCACTGCAGCTGTATTAATTTGCACACCTACAGTGAACAAGTTCGAACAGGTGCTCCTTTCCCCAGATCCATGCCATTTTTTTTGTCTTTCTTTTTCTTTTAAAATATTAGCCATACTGACTGGGCTAGGATGGAATCTCAAAGAAGTTTTAACTTGTATTTCCCTGATATCTAAAGTTGCTGAGTATTATAAAAAGTATTTCTCAGCTATTTGCATTTCATCTGGTTGAAAAGTCTGTTTAGTGCTGTGCCTCAATTTTAAATTGACTTTTAATTAATGTTTCATTGCTTTTATCCCAGAGTTTGTTTGTTTGTGTCTTAGGGTTTTTATTGATGCGAAGAAACACCATGACCAAAAGGCAATTTGGGGCGGGATTTATGTGGCCTACACTTCCATGTTTCTGTTTATTATTGAAGGAAGTTAGGACAGGAACTCAAACAGGGCAGGGTCCTGGAGGCAGGACTGATGCAGAGACTGTGGAGAGGTGCTGCTCCACATGGCTTGCTCAGCTTGCTTTCCTATAGAGCCTAGGACCACCAGCCTGGGGATGACTCTACCCGCAGTGGGCTGAACCCTTCTGCATTGATCACTAACTGAGAAAATTCCTTACAGCTGGATATGAGGGAGGCATTCTTTCAATTGAGTCCCCTTTCTCTTTGAAGACTCTAGCTTGTGTCAAGTTGACACAAATGCAGCCAATACAGTTTGTTTGTTTGTTCGTTTGTTTCTTTCTTTGATGATGTTCCAAGAGTTGTCTAATTCAAGTATTGTAGGAGCACAGGCTCATATAAATTTGTTTGCTTTTTCTCTAGATTTGGTAGTTGGGTAGTATTGTCTTCATTAAAATAATGTGTTCTCTCTCTTTTTTTTCTATTTTATGAAATATTGGTGTTAGGTTTTGAAGGCTGGGTGGTGTTCTGCACTGAACCCATCTGCCTCCCCGCTTTTTGAGATTGTTAATTACTGCTTTTATCTTGTTGATTGTTATGCATCTGTTTACTTTATTTTATTTTATTTTATTTTATTTTTGGTTTGGTTTTTCAAGACAGGGTTTCCCTGTGTAGCCCTGGCTGTCCTGGAACTCACTCTGTAGACCAGGCTAGCCTCAAACTCTCAAACTCAGAAATACACCTGCCTCTGCCTTCCAAGTGCTGGGATTAAAGGCATGCACCGCCACCCTCCGGCTTATGCATTTGTTTAAATTAATCACTTAATTTAACTTTTGTGTGTCTTATGAATCTAGAAATCTTTCTTTTAGACTTATCTAGTTCAGTGGAATATAAAATCTCAGTGTATGTTTATATGATTCTCTGAATTTCCTTGGTGTTTGTCATAATGCCTCCCTTTTCATCTCTAATTGAATCTAATTAATCTGTAATTAATTTGGGTCTTCTCTTTTGCTTAATTTGGCTGATGATTTGTCAATTTTATTAATATTCTTGAAGAGCAAACTCTTTGTTCATTAATTCTACACATTTATATATTTTTATTTTTATTAACTCCAGCTTGGTTTTATTTCTTTCAGTCTATGTCTACTGATTTTGGTTATATCTTGTTCTCTTTTTTTCAAGGCCTTCATATGCATCATTAAATTGAGAGCTCTCTCTCTCACTTTGTGTATATGCATGTGTTTGGGTGTGTGTGTGGGTGTTATATAGCCACTTAGCCCTATAAAATTTACTTTGAGGAATACCTCCATTGTGTCCTGTAGATTTTGATGTTTTCATATTCATTAAATTCTAGGAATGTTTTTAAAATTCCTTTTTTTGATTTCTTCCTTGACACTACTATCATTTAGTAGTATGTTTCTTAGTCTTCATGAGTTCATTTACTTCTAGAGTTTCTATTAATGTTGGCAGCTAGCTTTACTCCAATATGGTCTGAGAGAATACAAGATGTCATTTTGTTTTTCCTATGTTTGCTGAGGCTAGATTTGCATTGCAATATGGGGTTGATTTTGGAGATAATTCCATGGGCTGATGAGATTGTTTATTTAATTAATGATATAATTCAACTCTAGTGTTCTCTGTTTAGCTTTTATCCAGATGACCTGTCTTTTGGTGAGACTGGGTAATTGAAATCACCTTCATTCACTGTATTATAGTTAATCTATGGCTTTTGATCTAGTATTATGACTGTATTAAAGTTGGTGCATTGATGTTTAAAGTTGTATTACCCTCTTGATGGATTTTTTTTTTAAAGATTTATTTATTTTATTTATGAGTACACTGTAGCTGTCTTCAGACACACCAGAAGAGGGCATCAAATCTCATTATGGGTGGTTGTGAGCCGCCATGTGGTTGCTGGGAATTGAACTCAGGACCTCTGGAAGAGCAGTCAGTGCTCTTAACCGCTGAGCCATCTCTCCAGCCCGATGGATTTTTTTTTAATGAGTATAAAGAGACCTTCATTATCTCTTTGGACTAGTTTTTACTTGAAGTATATTTTGTCTGTTATTACAACAGCTGTATTGGCTCATTTCTTAGTTTAAATTTGCTTATATATGGGGAGTAGATGTGTTTCTGAGTGAATGTGCATTGTTGACATGGTCACAGCCATTTCAAAGACCCAAATGCCACAGACCCACAAGACAGGCAAAGCCTTCTCTAGGTAGGGTATGGGAATTGGCTAAACGTTTCCCTGTGCAGATGTCAACAATATGTTCAAAAACTACCACCATAGTTTCCTCCTCTAGGATGACTTTAGGCGGAGGCTTATCCCCTACAGAGATCTCTCACAGAAACTAACTAATCCTCCTCCTTATGGACATAAACACACTGAGTTTCCTGGTAGTGTAGTAGTGCCTTCCATCAACATGAGCACAACCCATGTGATTCCAGATTTTCTGTATGTATGTTTGTCCTTTCTTTATTCCCACATGGCCCCAGTAAGGTTTACAGGACCAAGCCATGTAAAACATGGCATTTGGAGTTTTGTTTTAAATTTTTTTTTTACTCTAAGGTTGTGTCTATCATTTACACTGAGATGTGTTCCTGGAGTAAATAATAATAAGGACCTTGTTTCCTAATCAAATCTGATTGTCTGTATCTTTTTTATTGAGAAATTGATACTATTAGTATTAAATGATTTTATAAGATATGTATTAATTTATAGTTTTTGTCATTGTTTATTTTTGTGTTGCTTTCTTATATATTTTTTGATCAAGTGTCCTGGCCTTATTAGTTTACTGTGACTTCTTGGGTGCGTTTATCCTTCTCTTCAGAGTGAAATATTCCTTCCAGTATCTCCTGTAGAGCAGGCTTAGTGGCCACAAATCCCTTTAGTCAGATTTCATCATGAAAAAAATGTGTTTATCCTTCAATTTTAATGGATAGTTTTGTTTAGTACAATAGTTGTCACTTATTAGAACCTGGAAAGACATTTTCTGTCTTTAAATGTTACTGTAGGATAACCTGGCATCATTCTGATGTGCTTGCCTCTAATTTTTTTTTCAGCCTTCAAAACTCTTTCTTTTCTTTCCTTTTTTTCTTTCTTTTTAAAAATGTTTTATTATGACATGTCTCTGATGGACAGCCATATCCTCGCCTCCTTTGTTTCTGAGGACTACTCAACCTGCGTCTGGGATAATCTCTGGACTTGGCTTCATCTATGAGTTTGAATCTTGTTCTAGCTCTCTTTCTGCATCTATTCTAGATTAGACATTGGCTCTGGTTCTTTCAGATTTATCAGTTGCCAAAGGTCACAATTCCTTGAATCTCTCTGTCATGAGTTACTATCTTATAGTAAATCCTTGTTGGAAAGAAGCCAGAAGAACATGGCCAACTGATGAAGAACAGAGGCAGTGATGAAGGTAGGATATGGGCTTTCTGCAGGCTATTTTCTCAGTCTATGGCTTGGCATCCTACTGGTGCCCCTCCTTCCATGTGTTTATGTATATATATTGGTCTTGTTGAGGCTACAGCCTGAGTGCTCTGCCCTACTTTCTGCTGCCCTGTGGTCCTAGGCTCTCATTGCAATGAGAAAGTACCTCTTGTTGCTCCTATTGGGCATCTTTTTGCTGGTGGGCTTTCTGCAAGGTAAGATTCTGCCAGATGGTGTTGGTAGGCAAACATGATTGTCACAGCGTGTTGTGATTTGGGAAAATGAGCAGCAGGAGATAGGACCTGACTGTGTTCAGACACGATTCCTGAATCCTTTATTCCTATATTTGTTCATTCTCCTTTTCTCCCTTGCCTCTGATATGAACTGTTATCGTCTTTTCTTGCCCTCCTATTATTTTTCTGCTCCTGGTCCTTCCTCAGGTTACTTTTCTTCCCTGGCTTTAGTCCCTTCATGTTGCAACATTTTCAGTTTATTTTTAGCTTTATCATTCATGGCTATAAATGTAGGCTAAAAATTGGAGAAGAAAAGTCCTTGATAGGATGATAACAACGAGAAAACAGGGAGGGAGGATCTGCCAAACTCTGTGTGACTGGCTCTGGTAGCCTGCATCAGATCTTTGATTCTTATTCTTACAGTCTGTGCATTACCTGGATTTGAGGGTGGGGATACCTTTTTGTTCTGCTGAAGCCATTCCCTTTCAGAGTACAAGGTCATGGGTTTCCCTGTAGAGGTAAGTACAATGTATATCCAACTTCTTCTCTGGACATTTTTTTTTCTTATTCAGGGCCATGGGCTCAGCTTCTGTGTGATGCTTGAAGCTGGGTGCTTGAGTATGTCTCTTAACACTTGGTTTTGCCGTTCCAGCCCTGACATGTGTCCGCTGTGGGATGTTGAACTCTTCCAAGATTTGTGAGACAGGAGAAACCTCCTGTGAGGCTACATATAATATGAGGTGTGCTTTATGGCTGCTCTATAAAGGTATGCAAGATCTTGGAGGTCTCAGGGTGTTCTTTTTTACCTGTGAGAGATACAACAGTCTCTGGTCTTCGGCAAAGATGCTGAGTGTGGGAGAATATGTTGCTGTGTAAAAGTAGAAAAGTGTCCTTCTACTTCTGGTATTGGTTGCCAATAATTGTAGATCAGATCAGCAAGCCAATAATGAGTAAAAATAATTTTGAGTGGTCTCTTGATGATCATCAGGGCCTTCTCAGTGAATATAATCAGAGTTCACAAAATTTTTAGTGTAAAATTCCACTTAGCACTCTTGTGAATCGAATATAGGCAAATGATGACTGTCTACTTTGAAGCCTGAATTTTCTCATTGACCAAGTCACTGATTCTTTCCAGAACATGTGTATTTTATCTCTTTTCCTTTTCCACTTCAGATGGCAAATTCCAATATGGCTTCCAGGGATGTCTTGAAACGTGCTTCAATTATACCAAGACCAACAAAAATGTGATAAAGGAATATAGATGTTGTGATCACCAAAATTTGTGTAACAAGCCTTAAAAGCCCTTGCCTGCCCTGTTCTACTTAGGTAAGCCCATATCCCTTCCTGTCCTCTTGTAGTCTCATAATGCTGGGCTATCAATGCCCAGCACTGTCAAGGCTCTGTTCCTCTTTACATAGCATCAGGGGTTGATATTTTGACAGTTAAATTGTCATTATCCATTTCTAGGATTCTAGCTTCCTTTTGTTTCTCCCGGCATTCTTTCAGCCTGAGTGACATATAGGACACTTTCCCCCTCCTCTCTTGATTGTTACCTTTTTTACAGTAAATTGTCATGATGGATAGATGCTGTAATTGGGGATTGGTGTCCCTGTGAATATGACAGACCTGATGTATACCTTTGATGAGCCTTCACTTCAGTGATGCCTTTTCTGCCAGGCAGGCCAGCAAACAAGAGCTCCAGCATCTCACGTCATTCTTATCCAGAGAATGTAGGGCATATGTTAGGTAGATTCTCACTGCTATGACCTATGTAAAACAATAATAGGAGGAAGATTAGTTTTCTCTCATGGTTTTGAGATTTCCTCCATGATGGGAGGACACAATAGAACAGTTTTTCAAGTCATGGCATAGCTGAGTAAAATAGGAAGTGACCAAGAGGAGATACAGCTCCTAAAGAACTGTCCCTGCTTATCTCCTTCCTCCAGTTAGATTCTCCCCAAGAAATCTCTCCCATCTTTTAACATTCTGTCAAGTGTTAAAACCAATTAATGTCTTAAACCATGGATTAGGACAGAGATCTCACATGCTAATTGTCTCAGGAAATGTCCTCTCAGACACTCCCAGAGGTGTCCTTGTGGAATCTCTCAGACATTCTCAGTGCCATCAAGTGACTAGTTGAGACATCAACAACAGGCGAAGGTGCTCCTACACCACAGTGTCCATCTTCCCAGAGTTCACATGCGCATGTGCTTCTTTGTCTTGAAAAGATTGCCCTTTAGCTTCACTTTTAGTAAATGCCATAGTTTTTGAAGTTAGGATTGCTTGGGCTATTTATTGTTATACTTTCAGTGGATTTTATATTCAACTTCAAAAAATGAAGACAGTGCCGCCTGTAGCAAACACTGCTACTGACCCCTCGTCAAGACACATTTTGTTTATACTTTAAAGTAGATATTTCAAAGCACTCGAGTCATGTCTAGGTTACAATATGTGTTTGTGTATATATTAAACACATCTATTTATTATTTATTTATTTATTTATTTAAAATATTGAAAACATTATAGTTTTTTTCCCAGAGATGTTCTTTGAGTCATGGCACCAGAGCAGGTTATTGAGCTTTCTACTGAACCACACCTGCTTTCTAAATAACATACCATAGTATTGTTCCTGTGCTATGTGTATACTTCTGTTTTCTGTTAGGTGCCTTGCAACATATCATATACCTTATGATATACCTTTTGAAATGAGTTTCCCTGTTCAATATGCTTTCTTATATTATGTTCAATTAAACTTGTCTTGAACTTATTTGTTTATGTGTGTCCATGTACTTCCTACTGCTCATATTTAGAGGTCAGAAGTGAAATTACAGAAGCCAATGATCTCCTCGTATCATGTTAGTTCTGAGAAATCGATATTAGATGTTCAGGCTTAGAAGTTAGCTCATTTATACAGTGAGTCATCTCATCAGCCCTCAGTTTGTTTTTTAAGTGATAATTAGGTGGCCAGTGGGATGGTTCATTGGGTAAAGGTTCTTTGATATCAGTTCTGATAGCCTGGATTCAACCTCTGGGTTTCACATGATGGAAGAAGAGAATTGAGTTTTGCAAGTTCACCTCTAATTTCTACAAGCCTGGAGTAGCAAGGCTATGCTCCCTCCCCACATGCATGCACACACTCACTTAATATAATAAAAATATCATAAAATAAGGTAATCACAGTATCATTTACACACAGTAAAATGTATGGATTTTTGCTCCTTTTTTTTTTTTTTAACAACCCAGCAAGGATAAGCCGTTCTTAATCATCACCATTAGATTCAGAGTATTTGCGACACCACTAGAAATTCCTCTGTCCCTTTGCTGTCCTGGGATCAAGCTTCCACTGTCAGCATCTTGGAACCACTGTTGTTCTCATTTTGTTATACTCATGGATTCATTCAGTAGAAGCCCCCTTCTTCTTGTAAGTCATTTGTGACTTCCTTTTCTTGCTTAGCTTGTAATTCTATCGTTTGACATAATTTCTGATACTGTATTTCATTTCCCCTTTTATCACACTTTAAATAATTTAAAAAACTTGAAATACAATTATACTATACCTCCTCTTCCTTTGCTCCCTCTAAGTCCTCCCATCCATCCCTCCTTGACCTCTCTTGGAAACATGGCTTATTTTTGTTTGTTATGGTTGCTACACTCTCTCCAGCATCTCTTTCACGATGGTCCCTGAGCCTTAGGCCCAGGAGTTGGATTAGGAACATATAGTTCCTTGTCTGAATTTTGACCAGTGTCAGTTTTCTGTATATAGAAATGTAATCTGATCCTTCTGTTTGGTTGTATGTATATGATTTCAAAGCTGACCAAATGGTGTCAGATAACTTCTTAGGGTCTAAACCATGGGGAAGATTGTTTTGTTGACTATCAATATTCCTTGTGTGCCTGTAGTAGCCTATCTTTGGGTGGGGTCCCATGATATGTTAGCATATCTAATGGTGTTATACATGTTTAGGTAACCATATTGTTGAGGTACCATGGTCTTTCTTTTTCTTTTTTTCTTTTTTGAAGTAATATTTTTCTTTCTTTTTATTTGATATTTTATTTATTTACATTTCAGATGTTATCCTCTTTCCCCATTCCCCCCTCAGAAACCTCCTATCCCATCCCCTATTCTCCTGCTTCTGTAAGTGTGTGCCCCTACACATCCACCCACTCCAGCCTTCCCATCCTCGAGTTCCCCCACATTGCACATCCAGACTTCATGGGACAAAGGATTTCCTCTCCCACCGATGACCAACAAGGCCATCCTCCACTACATATACAGCTGGAGCCATGGGTCCCTCCATGTGTATTCCCAGGCTGGGGGGTTGGACCCTGGGAGGTCTGGTTGGTTGGTATTGTTGCTCTTCCCATGGTGTCGCAAGCCCCTTCAGCTCCTTCAGTCTTCTCGCTAACTCCTCCATTGGGGACCCCGTGATCAGTCCAATTGTTAGCTGCAAGCATTTGCCTCTGTATATGTCAGGTTCTGGCAGACTTCTAAGGAGACAGCTATATTAGGCTCCTGTCAGCATGCACTTCCTGGCATCCACAACAGTGTCTGCCTTTGGTGATTGAACATGAGATGGATCCCCAGGTGCGGCAGTCTCCGGATGGCCCCTCCTTCAGTCTCTGCTCCACACTTTATCTCTGTATTTGCCCCCATAAATATTTTGTTACTCCTTCTAAGAAGGATCCACACTTTGGTCTTCCTTCTTCTTGGGCTTCATGTGGTCTGTGAGTTGTATCTTGGGTCTTGTGAGCTTTTAGGCTAATATCCACTTATCAGTGAGTGCATACCATGTGTGTTGTTTTGTGATTGGTTTACCTTACTCAGGATGATATTTTCTATTCATTTGTCTAAGAATTTCATGAATTCATTATTTTTAATAGCTAAGTAATACTCCAATGTGTAATTGTACCACATTTTTTATATCCATTCTTCTGTTGAAGGACATCTGGGTTCTTTCCAGCTTCTGGCTATTATAAATAAGGCTGCTATGAACATAGCATGTGTCCTTGTTCTATGATGGAACATTTTTGGGTATATGCCCAGGAGTGGTATAGCTGGGTCGTCAGGTAATGCTATGTCCAGTTTTCTGAGGAGCCTCCAGACTGATTTTCAGAGTGGTTGTGTCAGCTTGCAATCTCACCAACAATGGAGGAGTGTTCCTCTTTCTCCACATCCTCAACAGCATTTGCTAACACCTGAGTTTTTGATCTTAGCCATTCTGACTGGTGTGAGGTGGAATCTTAGGGTTATTTTGATTTGCATTTCCCTGATGACTAAGGATGTTGAACATTTCTTTAGGTGCTTTTTGATCATTTGAGTTTCCTCAGTTGAGAATTCTTTGTTTAGCTTTGCACCTCATTTTTAATAGGGTTATTTGATTGTATGGAGTCTAATTTCTTGAATTCTTTGTATGTATTGTATATTAGCCCTCTATTGAATGTAGGATTGGTAAAGATCTTTTCCCAACCTGTTGGTTGCTATTTTGTTCTATTGACAGTGTCCTTTGCCTTACAGAAGCTTTACAATTTTATGAGGCCCCATTTGTCAATTCTTGATCTTAGAGCATAAGCCATTAGTGTTCTGTTCAGGAACCTTTCCCCTGTGCCCATGTGTTCGAGACTCTTCCCCACTTTTTCTTCTATTAGTTTCAGTGTATCTGGTTTTATGTGGAGGTCCTTGATCCACTTGGACTTGAGCTTTGTACAAGAAGATAAGAATGGATTGATTTGCATTCTTCTACATGCTGATTTCCAGTTGAACCAGCACTGTTTGTTGAAAATGATGTCTTTTTTTCCACTGGGTGGTTTTAGCTACTTTGTCAAAGATCAAGTGACCATAGGTGTGTGGGTTCATTTCTGGGTCTTCAATTCTATTCCAGTGATCTTCCTGCCTGTCTCTGTACTAATACCATGCAGTTTTATCACTATTGCTCTGTAGTACAGCTTGAAGGCAGGGATGGTGATTCCCCAAAAGTTCTTTTATTGTTGAGAATAGTTTTTGATATCCTGAGTTTTTTGTTATTCCAAGTGAATTTACAAATTGCTCTTTCTAACTCTATGAAGAATTGAGTTGGATTTTTGATGGGGATTACATTGACTCTGTAGATTGCTTTTGGCAAGATGGCCATTTTTACTATATTAATCCTGCCAATCCATGAGCATGGGAGATCTTTCCATCTTCTGAGATCATTGATTTCTTTTTTCAGAGACTTGAAGTTCTTGTTATACAAATCTTTTACTTACTTGGTTAGAGTTGCACCAAGGTAATTTATATTATTTGTGACTATTGTGAAGGGTGTCATTTCCATAATTTCTTTCTCAGCTTG